CAATCACAAAATTGCATGGGTTAAATTTTTGTGTTCCCTCCTGTTAATTTTGTGTTCCCAGTACGTTCCCTCCTGTTACTAGATATCCCTTTTTTTGTTGCAATTTAAGGGTAGGGCGAAGAAAATCTTGTGAAAAAAAATAACCTTTGCAAGCCTGGCGTAGAATAACAATATAGTCGTTATGAAGTCCTAGTCTGGCTCTAAAAAATTTTATTATGATTGAAAAAGTCACTTGTTGGACAACAAAATTTTATTTGTGTATATAACGGTTATAATGAATCTACAATGTCCTGCGACTGTTAGCCAAATGTTCGTGATTTATATTGACCTTCAAAAAATATTTTGGTCATTTCTTATAAATAAAAATGTATAAATTAATACTACATTATTAGAAATTCCTTTATAATATTTCAAATCAAAAATCCTTAAATTAATAAATGCTTAGACCAAAATTAAAATACCATTTAATTCTTATTGATCTTTTAGGATATACTATTGCTATTAATATTAATAAAAAATAGAACAGATATTTGTCTATGATTGTGTTATTCATTTTATGTGTGGATCTTTCATACCAAAAATTCCGAAATGAATTATTGCGCCCGTGGCTGAAATTTTGGGGTACTATTTAAAGATTCCTTTTTTTTTGCCTTTTTTTTTTTTTTGAAAAAATTAAAAATGAATTCAATATTTGAAAAATATTTTAATGAAAATGAAAGATTATTAAATACAGAAGATTTTTATGATGTAAAAATATATGTTGGTGTAGAACCAAACATTAAAGAAGTTCATGCACATGCATCTATCATATCAGCTCATTGTCCATTCTTTGGCAATGTGTTAAGCAATGCAACAAAAGAAAATGGATATTATATTATTAAGAAAGTTAATATTAGTGAAAAATGTTTCAATCCTATTCTCAAGTAAGTTTAAATAAATTTATTATTATATTGAATTGTTTGTTTGAATGTATATTATAATAATAATAATCTGTTTAATAATTTCTTTATTTAAGATTTTTATACACATGTAAATTTGAATTTGAAAATTATTCTGGAGATGAAATATTAGAACTATTAACTTCAGCAGATGAACTTGGTATTGAATCACTTTATGAATATATGATGAAATATTTCATTGAAAATTATGAAGATCATATAAAAGAAAATCCAGTTAAAATTCTACAACTGATTTATGCTAATGAAAAATTTAAAGAGTTAAAAAATATCTATTTAGAAAAGGTTTGTGATCATAGTGAAAAATTATTCAAATCAAGGGAATTTAAATCATTGGGAAAACCAATTCTATTGGAAATTCTCAAAAGAGATGATTTTTCTGTTGATGAAATAGATATTTGGGAAAACATTATTAAATGGGGATTGGCAAAACATCCTGAAATCAATAATAATAATAATGTTGAAGATTGGTCATCACAAAATTTTGTTGATTTAGGCAACACATTAAAAGAATTCCTTTCTCTGATAAGATTTCGGGATGTTTCTAAAGAGGATTTTCTCAATAAAATTATGCCATATCATATGCTTTTTCCTTGGACTTTATGGAAGGATATTTCACATTATTATTTACTTCCAGATAAACAACAAAAATTAAATTTATTATCATCAAGAATTTCAAAATTGAATTCAACACTTGCATCATTGACAATCAATCAAAATCTTACTTTGCTTTTTGCAAGTTGGATTGATAGAAAAAACCCACCATATAGTTCATTCAGGGAGGTCAAATATAAATTCAAACTTTTGTATCGGAGTAGTAGAGATGGTTTAAATCCAGTTATATTTCATCAAAAATGTGATAATATCAACAAAACTCTTGTAGTTGCCAAAATACAAAATTCAGATCAAATAGTTGGTGGCTATAATCCCCTCAATTGGAATGGAAAGGTGATTGATAAAAATACAACTGAAAGTTTTATATTTAATATAAGTAATAAAAATAATATTAATACTGCAAAATTTAGTTATGTTATTAATAACAAGTGTCAACATGCAATTTATTGTCATCCAAATTGTTTACCAGTTTTTGGTAGTGGTTTTAGTGGTAATATTGGATGTGATATTTATTTTGAAAAAAATGGTAGTATTTGTACCAGGCCATCAAGTTATGCTAATATCAATTTAGTAGATAGTAGTAGATTTGATGAATTAGAAGTTTTTCAAATTAATTAACCATATTAATTATTTATTATCTTACCATACTATTTACCTAACAACATTTTTTCTATGTAATATTTGATAAATTTAAATAAAATAATGAGAATTCTTTTTCTGATTCATTAAATAAAGGCAGTATAATGGTAATGCTACTAGTAGTATTTCTTAATAATAATTATAATTATTAAAAAGAGAAATTTGGTACTTGATTGAATATAGCAAAAGGATGCAATTTATTAAAACATCATCATTATCAAAGGATAAATTCTCTTGTAAGTCAATTCTTTCATCCATTAATCCCAGTCATCATTTAATTCAATAGTCAATTAATTTCATACACTCCATATAAAATTTCTTGATGTCTATAAACAATTTCTTACCATTTTGTTTTAAAGCTTCAAACCGAACTTTTTTGTATGCAAACCAAGAAGAAAAATACTGTATATCTTGGGAATGATATGTTTTATGTATTGTAAACTTTAAAAATAGGAAAAGTGTTGCAAAAACCAATATTGTCTACTGATTTAACAAGTCAAAATTTATATATTTTAATCCAGATAATGAAAATTTAATAATTTATATTTCAATACCAATGGGAGAGCATTGTATATTAAATAAGAGTTGTAACAGCAACTCGTTTATATAAACTTTGAACTCTGATAATAATTACACGTGATTTCACACGTTTTGGTAGAAAATATATATTTTTATTTACTGATATCATTTAACATAAATTTCATAAAAAAAGATTGTTACAAGTATGTTTAGTAATATAATAGGATTTTAAGTTTGGACAGCCAGTTTCCAGGTAAATGCTGAATTATGCATTCGTTCACAAATTTCCAAGCGCCTTTTTGTAATTCACCGCTCAGCATCTCTTTCCACTCATTAGATTAATGACAATATATTAACAATAAGATATAATGAGGAATTACTTATTTAAGTAGGGTTTCCTGATTACGATGTTGACTCTTCATTTACCTGCAGTTTTTCACGATAATTCATATTTTGGTGTTTTCCAAACTTTATGTAATGCTACTAACAGCTGCCCGTTATTTGTTTCGTCTAATCAATCTCCAAATTTGACATCACCCAAGGCATCAAATTCTACTGAGCTATTTTTTGTTTTTCATCCTCAAGATTTTGTCAAGTCCGTGTTATTGAAGAATTAAATGCAAATCAATTCTTCTCAAACAGGAACTAAATGTGGTGTAAAATATGTTAATTAAATGTCCACTTCAACCTCAGCATTAAATTACATCTCCTCCATATTACTACCGCCGAATGGGCTGTATTTGATTATCCACCTTTAATGTCCTCCAAGTGAAGAATCAAGAGATTTATAAAAATTAATCTACCATAAATACGGCATTTATTACAAGAAATCGGAATTAATTATAACAGTCGGTCATTCATTCGTACACTTATATGTTAGTCCAATGTAGAAAATCAAGTCTCGAAGCCTCACATATTTTATAAATTATGTGACAAACTATTAGATGGTCTTTGTTGACCTGTTGATGCTGCTGACATCAATACAGTCAAACCTTGTCATAACGGATTTCGATCTAGTACAAATTTAGAATGTATCTGCAGAAATATCCAATCAAATACAATATTTCTGCAGATACCTTTTAAATTTGTACTAGATCGAAATCCGTTATGACAAGGTTTGACTGTATTCCACAAAACTAAATGCCGTTTACCGTTTAATACTTTTAATGCAATGTATGTAATACTCTATATGCATGGTCAGCTGAATGTCATATTTTTGATAAAGAACATTACCACTATGAAGGTCACGGTACTTTATTGTATGCTCTTATCAATTTTCATTTTCGTTGATACTATTGCTATTACTCATATTCCATATTAATTCATATATTAATAACGTACGTTTTCAATAAATTATTTTTATAGGGCCACAAAACCACGACCACCGCGCTACCATAAAAAAGAAGATAAAGAATAAAGGTCTTTTTACTAACAGAAAAGAATTAAATAAGTTTTATTGAATATTAATTCGATTAAAAAAAGAGTGGGGTTACTATTACAGCATGCATATGAAATTTGTTATTTTCTTTTTGAAAAAATCAATTTCAAATCTACCGGTCTTATTAAAGTCGAAACATTAATTAGTATTTTATCTTTATGAGGAGATTTTAGTGGCAAACTAATGTCATAATTCAATACTGAAAAGTGTGGGAGTAGAAATATATTATTAAGATTATTGTTGGGTGTTAATTCAAATAATTCATCAATAATAAATAAATAAATAAATATTTTACTTACATAACATTGAAATTATTATACGTTGTTCCATTAAGGAGAAATTTTGTCCAATACTGAATAAAGAAAACAGACAGATTGTTATTTTCAAAGATCAATAAAACAAAAAGCTGGAATAAAAAAATAATTACCAGTTTCTTGGCCCGGCGGAGAAAGGCATCCAAGCATGTAGATTATTATCACCTTTACTTGATAAGAATCTTTCCGGATTAAATTTTTCAGGGTCCGGCCAACTTTGTGGATCACGATGAACAGCCCAAATATTAACACTTGCCATAGTATTTTTTGGAATTATCATTTGGCCATATCTCAATTCTTTTTTGGTGAGACGTGGAAGAGTCTCAACAAGTGCTGGATAAAGACGTAAAGATTCTTTAATTATTGCATTAATATATTTAAGATTCTATATCATATAATATATAAATATTTGTATGTATTTAGTAAGAAGCACCAAAATGACAATGATCTCATTTGGAACACACTCTAATAAAATAGATCAACTATAAATAACTACCTTTAAATCTTCTGAGGTTGGAATTTTTCCTTTCACACCCAAGACACTGATTGCTTCTTCTCTGGCTTTATTTTGTATCTCCTAATTGATTGATTGATTGATTGATTAACAATTGGTAATTAAATAAATTTTAATTTCTTGAAAAAATTTAAATCAATAATTACAGGATATTTGGCCATATAGTAGAAAGCTACACTCAAAGCATGTGAAGTTGCTATCAAATGAAATATTTTATCCAAATAATTGATTAATATTATAATTCCCTAAAAAAAAATCAAAATTAAAGAATATAATTAATTACTGTCATGTCCAGCTAAGAAAAAAGTGACCATTTCATCTCTCAAATCATCAGAGGACATTTCATAATTTTCTTCATTGGCAGCTTCAATCATCCCATATAACAAATCATTTCTTAATGTTGAATCTTTATCATTATCATCATTATTAGAAAGTTTTGATTTTTTAATCTCTTCTCTTCTATTTTGAATGATTTTGAGCATATTGTAATTAAACATTTCTAAATCATTTTCAAATTCAGCTTTTGATTTTCTTTGAAATTTATGTAACCATGGTACAACATAAAGAAGTGGATCACCAAGAAAATCTATAATTTTAACATAAGTCTCAATCACCTCATGTTGAGCTTCTAAATTTTCCAAACACTAAAAAAAATAAAATCTAATGTTATTTATTATTAATGTAAATAAAAAATTTTATGATTCGATTGATTTAAATACCTTGAAATCATAATTAAATGCAACTTTTCCTAAAACTTGTATGGTGGTTCTTTGCATTACTTTAAAGATATCAAATGGTTGGTCAACTATTTTATCAAGTAAATTTATCAAATCAATTGTTATTTTCCCAACAACTTCTGGGGAAAGTGCACGGTTAAATGCAGGATTTGCTATCCTTCTATGCGTAATCCATTTCTTTTGATTTATTTATATTTTTAAATAATTTTAACATTTTTTTTGCAAAAAAATTTTTTAACAACATGATTAAAAGTAATTGTTATTACTTACTTGTCCGTTAGAAAAAGATAAACCATCACCCAAAAATTTTCTTGTTGGGTGCTTGTCAGGAAGCGACCATTTTGGTAGCGCCTCAGCTATATGAAATAATGATGTTATTAGTATTAGTATCCAGTATAATGAAAGACGAGGCTTAGGCTATTTTAACAAAAATTGAACGTATTTCGTGCTTTGTGGTTGTTCGGTAGATATACATGCCATTACGTATGAGTATTGGTATACTAATATATACAAAATATAAATCATTTACCTGATTCCGATAAGAAATCTTTTGCATATTCATATTTTGAAATGAATACTTCCCAATTATTATAAATCCAAAACTAAATTTTTTTTTAAATGATATTTAATTAATTGACGCAAATATTCATTTAATTATTTAGTTATATTTTTTAAAGAATATAAAACCTACTTTAGAAAGTCCTTTGGTCTCAAATTTGGTAAACATGGCTTGAATTTCATCTTGTGGGGCTTTATGATATATTGCTTTAAACATTTCTATAATTGAAATAGTTGGAATATTTGCTAATTCTTTTGAATGGAAAAAAAGTTTTCGATGATAATATAATGCAAAAATAATAATTGAGGAAAAAATCGAAAAAATTAGTTCTTGAAACATTTTGATGTTTTTTTAAAATTGTTATAAAAATTCAGATCAACGTTTTTTTTCCTTGCTTTTATAATAATAAACTTTTATTAAAACAGATTAAAAAAGGCAATTGTTGTCGTTATTTTGTGAATGATAATAATAATTAATTGTTGCGGAATCGGTTAAATTACATCTTTGTTTTTTTTTTTTAGTAACAAAAATCCTAAGTTGGGATACGTGATTTAATCTCGGTAACACAAAAACAAATTTCATGCGGTAAATCAAGACAAAGTTGAATCCCAGAGACCGGCGAATTTATTTTTGTTTTTTTTTTACTATATACCTTGTTAAATTTTATAAGACCTCTAACCGAGAATGTTCAAACAAAGATGTATAACATATACTTGACCCTCAGCAAATATGTTCTCGTCAACATTCAACGTTACGTGTGGTAGGGTTAACCTTTGTGCCTTGTAAATGGTCAAGCCAAAAGTGTTCTAGAGGGGGAATTGTTTTCTCGATGCTTTCTTACCATCAATTTCAAAATTATTTTGCTGATGCTGGCCAAAGTTGGGGAATGTCACCGAATACTTTTATCCCGCCTGGACATTTTTTTAATTAAAATCATTAATTATTATTATTAATTATTAATTTAATCCAAAACTGACCACTTTAAAAATTCCCTTTCTCTGAATGCGTGGTTGGCTTGATTTATACAGAGAGCTTCCATTTAAATTTCGTTGGATGAGATAGTCTTGATAAAGAATGTAGATAAAAAAATGGGAGGCATATTTTTTTGTTTTTCATTGCTCAAATTAGAAGTCATTTCCCAAAGTTTAATTTCTATTTTAAGAAAAAAACTTTTTTATTTCTATAAATGTTGAAACATTTAACAGTGGCTTAATTATTAAATATAAATTCATTTATACAATCAAACGGATAATAATAATCATAATAACAATAAATACCAAAAACCAATCAATTCCTAGTAAGCTTTTTTTTTACCGGCCCACATTTTTTCTTTATTTATTTATTATATATATTAAAAATAGAAATTGTATCTTTTAAAAAAAATTTGGCAACACTTAACGTTAACATTAACATCAATATCAATATGGACATGTTATCCATAATTCGAAATTTTAAGATCCTTCCAATATACTGTAAGTAATTTATTGGAAAACAGACATTTAATTCAATTGATTCTATCTATATACGGTGCGGATGTAAACTTGATAAGTCGGTCAGGCAGGTCAGGCACATGTGTCCGACTTATCGAGCCTATAAATTTTATTTAATAAAATATAACAAAATGTTTAGAATTATTCATTACAAAAAAAACTTTTCAAGTTAGGTTGCTTTAAAGAAGCGCTTTGTTTTCTTCTAATTTGATGTTGTAGGTCTCTCATTCCTGATATTACGGAGTTACTTACTTTCATATCAGTACCTTGTTGTAATAATTAAATAGATTTTGAATACTATCCAAAGCAACTGTATATGATATTGGAGTACTCATAGTTTCTTCTTTTTTTTCTTCTTCTAGTGTTCCTTGTACCGCAGCAATTATCTCTCTTCATCAATTATTTCAGGATTTTCTATTCTAATTTTCAGATTAAAAAAAACTCCATCTTTATTCGAGACAAAGGATAGAAATTGAGTGTATTTATCTCGGATTAATGATTTCCACAGGTTTTAACTGTTAGCTTTGAGATAAAGGATAGAAATTGATTATATTTTATTTATTTTAGATTAGATCCAATTATTGTTGTTGTTGTTGCTAATAAAAAGAAATTGTCTTTTTATTGAAAACTTTTTTAATTTTTAGTTTCATCCTGTGCATAGTCATGTGCGTAATGTATCACATGAAACCGACTTATTGTGACTTTATATAGATTGACCAACTTATCGAATTTTTTTAAATGGTAAAAAAAAAGGAATGAAAGCTTTTGACCAAAACCGACTTATCGAGTTTACATATGTATACTCAAAAGTTTAAATTCGTGTGAAAGGACGCCCCAGGTTGTCATTAATCTTTAAATTAAATGTATAAATGCTTTTATTAAAATGAAAAATTTACCGTTGTTAAAGAAATCGACCAATTTTTTTTAAGAAAAACTCGTAAAATTTGAGTACGAAAATAATTACTAATTCGATTGTTAATTGTAAAAGAATTCCCTCCTATCTCAAAAAAAAAAGCTATCAGGATTTTTTTAAAAACAGTGCAACGAAATCCTTCATACTGTAACTATAATTAATCGTTTTTTAAATGGTATAATGAATTGAATATTTTCTTTTTATCCTTTTGTTTTAATTGAAAAAATTAAAATACAAATTAACAAATAACGTTGTAGGATAACACGACAGGAATGGTAACAAGACCTCCTCGACTACTAAGTAATCATCAACCGTGCTTATTAGAAATATATAACCATCTTTTTTCGCTTTGATGGTCTTTCAATTTCAATTTCAATAAAATCTGATGATAATAATTTTTTAATAATGACACATAATATCTTTTGAAATTTATTCTTTAAACCCTTTTTTTAACAACACATAATAATATTAATATCTGTTGAACTTATTTTTTTAATAATCTATCACACAGATAAATTGTTTGTTAATTAAAATAATGGCTTCTATTTTATCATTAATTGTATGTGAGGCTTACACATGTACTGCATGTAGTAGATGGATAACGAAGAATTCATAAAGCTAAATTTTGGCAGAGCTTCAATGATATGATTCAAGAAATTAGAGAAAACTCGGTCATGACGTTCCTTAACATTGGGTCTGAATTATTTGTAAGAATTTTTTTTAATTATTCATTTTACCAACATGCAAATGTACATAATACAATATATTAATTTCAAATGATATTTTTCTTGTGTAGGTGTGGTTCAGGCGATAATAATAAGCTTAGACTTAAGAACCTTGAAAGAGGACATCTTATTTGGTGCTTTTTCTTCCCCTTGCAAAAAGGAAAAAGGAAGATCAGAATCAGCAAAGCTACTTCATCATGAAAAGGAACATCTAATAAATTTATATGATCCTGTACATGTATACAGTCTCGAATGGCGGTATTCGGCTGTAGCTATAGCAACAAAGTCGTCTGCGATCTTCTCAGTAGCAGGTGAGCTCTTCGTGAAAAAGAAATCATCTATAGTGAGATTGAGTTGTCTTACCAGTTTGGCACAAAGCAAAGCCCCAACAATCAAGGCCAAGAGAAGGAACAATAATTTGTTAAGATTCAATCAGCTGATCATCAGCAAAAAACATCAACATTGTTGTCATTCTCAGCACTGTCAAACGCAACATAAAAGGCCACCACAAGTATCATGTGATGAGGAAGAAGCAGCAAACAAAAAAGGTGCCTTGATACTCCCTTGAATGTATCAAGATCAGAAACATTAATCAATGTGATGGACCAAGTGAACAACAAGGGCAAAGCACCAATGTAGATGAAAATTTGTCAGTTGAAAATCAGGGGGAGGATGTTGAGGTTCAGGATATAGATCACAATATTAATGAAGGAACTGCTTGAATCAGTTTATATTTTTATTTTTTATTTTTTTTAAATAAATATGATTTGTTTTTTGAATGAATGATTTGATGATTGTTATTGAAAGAGTGGCAAATCAACAAATTTTTGTGCTTGGCTGTATGTGACATGTTGACACGGGTTAACCCCCTCCTTTATTACCAAATAAGTAGAGGTTGGAATTGACTAAAAATTTTTTTGAACAACTAATAGTCGACTATTTAATTGACTATTTTAGTCGACCAATTAGTTGACTATATATTAATACTAATACTATACTAATACTATACTAATATTATTATTGTCTGACCAATTACGATTTTTGTATTTTATCATTCAAAATGGAAAATTTCTATGCAGAAGAGTATCAATACCATCAATATGATGATGATAACAATAGTGGTGGTGTTGTTGATGATAATTTTACATGTGAACAAATAAACACTTCTGATACAAGGTCCATTAGTTC